GTTCAAAGAGGTCACAGAATCACAGATTAATAAAGTCATCCCACCCCATCCACACCGGAAAGGAACCCCCACCACAATACCCAGCAAACTGACGGTCCTCTTATTTAGGGGTTCAAAAGGAACCTCGGAGGTTATCTGTTCAGCCCCCCCATTTTACAGGGGAGGAAAGAGGGAGAGGAGATCCTTGGTGCCCCAAGGATCAGAGGGGCCCACAACGTCAGGCATGAAGCGCGGCGGGGGTGGGGGCACCTGCTGGCCTCCCATCTCCTTGGGAACAGGGGGTGTCCCTGCCCCAGGAGTCCTGGGCTGAGATCTGAGGCCGGAGCTCCCCTCTCTCGGGGATGGGGATGGGGATGGGGATGGGGATGGGGGTGGGAGTGATGAGAAGCTGGCCCAGGTGGGAAGGGGAGGGAAGCATAGGGACCCGCTGCAAGGGCTGAACCCCCAAACAGACCCCCCACCCCAAAGCTGGGGCTGCATCAAATCTCTGGGGTCCAGGAGGGGGAGGGAGGCATAGGGACCCAATACGGGGAGGGACTCCCCAAAACTGCCCTTCGGACGCCCCTTCCACGGGTAATCTCCGGCTCCAGTTCCGGGCACGGTCCACCCTCCCCACTAGGCTGCCCGCCGTGCCGGCCCAGGCGCTCCGGGCCCCCGAGCCCAGGCCGCCCCACCCCCAACACACACACACCAGCCATCTTGCCATGCCGCCCGGAGGGCCCGGCAGCCCCGCGTGGGGGGGGAGGCGACGGGCTCCAGGCTCGCCAGGGAACGTCTACAAAGGGCGGCGGCGGCAGCTGCAGCCCCGCTCGTCAGGGAGTGTCTGCAAAGTGCAGGCGGCAGAGAGGAGGCAGGGGAGGGGAGGGAGGAGGGAGGAGAGGAGGGAGGGGGAGGGGAGATGGAAGGGAGGAGGGAGGGGAAGAGAGGAGGAAGGGGGAGGGGAGATGGAAGGGAGGAGGGAGGGGGAGGGAAGAGAGGAGGAAGGAGGGGGGAAAGAAGGGAGGGAGGGAAAGAATGGGGGGCGGGGGAGAGGGAAGACTAGCCCGACCCAGAGAGGAGGAGGGGAGAGGCTCCCGGAGAGGGAGGGGTCCTCGCGGGCGCAGCCTCCTCCCCCCCAGCGCACCAGGCCATGGTGAGCTCTGGACGTCCTGCGAGCCCCGAGCCAGTCCCAACACGCCCCAGCCGCCTGTGACCTTGGGCCTCCGCGGGTCGGGGTCTCCTTGGTGACCCCTGGCCACTGCCTCCAGTAGGAGGAATGTTAATCCTAAGAGGAGAAGCGAGGCCAGAACAGAAACCCTCCTCCTCCTCCCCCTCCTCTTCCCCCCTCCCCTCCTCCCCCTCCCTCCCCCTCCCTCTCCTCTTCTTCCTCCTCTTCCTCCTCCTCTTCCTCTTCCTCCTCCTCCCCCCCCCTCCTCTCTCCTCCCTTCTCCTCCTCCCCCCCTCCTCCTGTCCCCCTCCTCCTCTTCCTCCTCCCCCCTCCTCTTCTTCTTCCTCCTCCTCCTCCTCCTTGATCCAGGAACCCTGGGAAGCATTTCCCTCCTAATTTCCCTTAAAACAAAACAAAACAAAACAAAAAGCCACCTTTGTTCATGGCCAAAATTCACTTAGCTCTCTTCCCCAGGAAATCTGTGAGCTGTTCTTCTTATCCCTCCCCTGCCTCATCTCAACCCTCCAGCATTCTAGGCCCAGTGCAGATGCCGCCTCCTCCTCCAGGAAGCCTTCCTGGACCAGCCCAACCCAAAGTAAAATCACATATGGAAGTGGCACTGACTCTGGAAAACCTGGGTTCAAATCCTACCTCTGAGGCTTACTATCTGAATGAATGAAAAAGCCTTTAGTAAACTTTGACTGTGTGCCAGGCCCTTGGATAAGCAGGCAAGCCCTTTCACCTCAGTGGGCCTCAGTTTCCTCATGTGTGAAATTAAGGGGCCTGTGCTGGGTAGCCTGCGAGGCTCCTTCCAGCTCCAGACCCGTGTTCTCCTGGGCCACGAGCCCCATCCGGAGCTTGGTGAGCTCAAAGGCCCCAAACCACCATCTCCACCGATTTCATTTTATTAAGCCTGACTCTCCCCACCCCGCCCCATGTGTTAAAGGGTACCAATGTTTATTTTCTTCTCCTCCATTCAAAATCACTGAATGATTGAGCTGGAAAGAACTTCAGAGATGATTTCTAAGGTTAAAAAAAAAAAGGGCAGGACAATGTGACAGAAAAAACCAGGAGACCTGAGGTCAAGTCCTGAGTCTGACACTGATTGCCTCTGTGACCTTCCCTGAGTCAGTTTCTTCATCTGTAAAATGGGGATGATAATAATAGCTTACAATACCAATCAAAACATCAAAGGGACACTTTGTAGAATTTGATAAAAATAATAACAATTCATCTGGAACAACAAAAGATCTAGAATATCGAGGAAAATGATGAAAAGAAGCAGGGACAAATTGTATGGAATAGCACTTCCAGAGCTCAGACTATACTATAAAGCAGCAGTCATCAAAATGTCTACTGTTGGCTAAAAAATAGATCAGTGGAACAGACTAAACAAGAGAATCAGAAATGACAGAACAACATTTGAGAAAGTGGAAAGCATAAATTACCTAGGGGAAAACTCCCTATATGATTAAAAAAATTCTAATGGGAAAACTGGAAAGCAGTCTGGCGGAAATTAGGATCAGACCAACACCTTACACCACATTTCACAATGTTGTTCCTCCATGTTGTTTGTCCTTTGCTTTCAAAGACATCCCAGGATAATGTCTTAACTTGAGTGGGAATTGGATTTAAGTAAGGCAGAATTTCACAAAGCTTTCAACTGCACCCCCCCTTCCAAAGTCGCTGAAGTCAAGGCAGGACAAAGTCAAGATGTCTGGTGACAGCCCAGGATGTAGTGAATGACCTTGGCATCTTCACTGTCTGACCAAGCACCCTCATGGCCCTTGGAACTAATTGTTCTCATCTGCCCATCCTGCTGGGGGAAGTCTTCACATGCTTGGGGTAGACCCCCCCCACAACTCACCAAAGGGTGAGTCCTCAACCTGGTTTACCCATCTCCTGAGACAGTTTTACCAGGGTGGGGCTAATGTGCATGCTAGTTTCTTGGAGCCAGGGGTGAGAGTTGGGTGAAGGTGGACACCAAACCTAGATGAGCAGCCCTGAAAAGCATTCGGCAAGTCCTCCCATCAGAAATGCTATTTCTCCCTGAACACCCCATACATCTATACAGGACATATTCCACAATATATTCCAAATGAGTACATGACCTTAATATTAAAGATCATATTAAAAAATTAGAACAGAAACATCATATCCCTCTCACAGTTATGGGTGGATGTATTCTTAACCAATTAAGAGATAGAGGCAATTACAAAGAGTGAAATAGATGACTTTGATTACTTGCAACTGAAATACTTCTGCACAGACAAAAATAATGCACCTACAATAAGAAGGTAAATGATGGAATGGAAAAAAAATTGTTTCAAATTTCTCTGATAAGGGTTAGTATCCAAGACAGATAAACAATTTACATATGTGTGTGTGTGTGTGTACATATATATGTATATAGGTATACATATATATATGACTAATAGCCATTCCCCAATAGATAAGTGGTCAAAGGACATGAACAGTTCTTAAAAGAAGAATAACAAAATATTCACTACAGGAAAGAATGCTCCAAATCAGGAATAAGAAAAATGCAAATCAAAATAACCCTGCGGTTTCACCTTATACCCTGTAAATTAGCAAAGATGACAAAAGATAGGAGTAGTCAACTTTGGAGGGGTTGTGGGAAGATAGGCACACTGATGTATTATTGGTGGTGCTGTGACAACCTTTTTGGAAATCAATTTGGAATTATACAAATAAAACTACTGACTATAAAATAAAATAAAAAATAATAAAAAAAAACTACTAACTAAAATGTCCATACCCTTGATATAAAGATTTTATTACTAGGCATTATGCCTCAAGGTATACCACAGTGGCCGCTGATAAGAAAGGCTCCATAAACACCAAAATATTTATAGCAGGACTTTTTGCAATAGCAAAGACTTGGATATAAAGTAGATGTCCATCAACTGGGGAAGGCTAAACAAGTCTATACCCAGTCTTGGAGAGCCTGGAGCCCTAGAATGTTAGCTGACAGATGGGGAAACTGAGGCCCAGGAAGGGGAATAGACAAACCCACAGTCACACAGAAGCAGAGCTGAGGCTAGTCTAAGTCCAATGCTCTTGCCCACTATACTGGGAGGTCACTCACCTGGTTGGGCCAGTTTTCTTGGGAACACAGTCATGCCAAGTAATCATTTGCTTTCTCTGTTTTTGCAGATCTTACCCACTGGCAGTTAGCTTCCTTCCAACTTTTACATACCTGAAATGCAGGGGAAAGTAGTCTCAGACTTGGAGCAGACAATATGGCAAAAACCTAATTCCCAGCTCCTGGTTACTGGAAATCTTTTTTTCAAGGGATACTCAGGACATTCCCTTTATAACTTTGTTATAACTTTTTTTTTTCTGGGCTTCTGGAAAAGTATTGAATCTGCCTTTCTTCTTGGAGTCTTGGCTCGAGAGGCAGGCACACAGCCGGCCTTTGCTGCCCCTGGCTAGCTGCTAAGAAAGTCCCAAATCCCCTTGACCTCCAAAATTCACAACATTCTCCTTCATCCCACCATTCTCCTTCATCTCCTCCCTTCCCACCACCCCCAAATCATTTCTTCCCAAATGTTTTGCTGAAATGAATCTCTGGGTCTAGAAATTGGGAAGGGACTTTAGAACATCAATCAGCACTTGATTAACACACTAATTAAGTATTGAACTAAGAATACACAATGCAAAGGCAAAAATGAAAACAGGCCCCTTGCTCAAGGAACTTACATTCTGTGGAGAAGATACCACAATTTCACAGAAGAGCAAATATAAGATTTAGAAAATAAATACAGAGTAGTTTTGTCAGTCAGTCGATAAGAATTTATCAAGTACCTACGTTGTTCCAGACACTGGTGATACAAGAAAAGGAAAACCATGGCCCTTTCTCTCAGGGAGTTTATGTTTTAATGGAAGAAGCATCATTTAAATAGAAGATGGTCTCAGACAGGGGGTTTTCAGCTTTTTTGTGTCACAGAATCCTCTGGCAGTCTGGGAAACCTGTGGACCCCTTCTCTGAATCATGTTTTTCCAAGCATAATATACATAGAATTACAAAGGAAACCAATTATACAATTATACCAATTAAAAGTACAGTTATTAATTAAAAGTAAATTAAGAATTCCTCCCATAGAAGAAAGGAGGTGGAGGGGGTGAGGGGGAGAAACAGGAAAGGTTTCCTGCAGAAAGTGAGCTCAGCGTGAAGGAAGTCAGGGAAGCTGGGCAGGGATGATAAGGCAGAGCACTCCAGGTGTTAGGTTAATAGATGGACAGTCACCTGGAGGTAAGGTGAGGCAGGAGAGTTTTCTTGAAGCCAGTAATACTTGAACCGGGATTATGAGGCAGCTAGGGATTCCAAGAGGAAGAGATGAAGGAGAATATTCCCATTACAATAATTAGCTCATTTCAAACCTAGGAAGCAATAGAATGGCCCCTAAAGTTAATTTGATTCCCTCCTCTTGAGTTTCAAGAAGTTTGTGTTAGAAGACAAGTTCTTTGTTCAACCACAATTACTCTGAATCCCCAGTTTGCAAAATATCTAATATCCTGGCAGAGGCTAGGATCCCCCTTTGCTCTTCAGGGGTACAATAGAAATGCCATCCTTGCTTCAACCTCTCCAACCCAGACCCTCTGACTCTCTCCCTCCTAGTTCCGAGATGGCTTCTTTCTTTTATGCACTAAGACACACAATGACTTTGATTG